ATAGACCGGTTCCAGCCCTGCGATTGCAGGCCCAGTCTTCCCCGACGTCATAGAGGCCCTAAGGGCCTACAGTGGGTAGAGCCCGTAGCTGGGAAGGGCCTAGAGGCCCTAAGTCGAAACGGTACCGGTAGAGCAGTTTCGGTCCAGTAGGTCTAGGGTAGAATCTAGAAATAGGACAGGCCGAGTAGGTTTAGGACTTTTGACAGTTCATTTCTCGCGAAGCAGCGTTGGAGAAGCCAAGCAAGTTGGTGGCGATGACTGTCTGCAGGCGGCATCCTGAGACCTCGCCGTTGACAGCAGCCATAGCCGGCCCAGTCTGAGTCTGCCATAGCTGGGGCATCCTCAGCGCATCTACCCCCGGGGTATCTGCGTCTGGTCGGGCTATATCGAGGCTCTACACTGTGTACTCGTGGGTGGTGGCAGCCATAGCTGCCTGTTCCTTCGTCAGAGTTGTCCATCAGCACTGAAGACTTCATCACAGGACCTGTTGTTCATCAGGGTGGTTGGCGCTGGCCTCTGGGAGGCCAATCTGATGTGGCGCTACTAACTGGGTGTAGGATAGAGAGTGGGGTGTGAGTTCTAAGAGTGGCGAGATACTGGAACAAACTCTGTTACGATAATTGTGTGAGTGCCTCATCATCAGTATGGATTTCAATTGTGATCTTCGCAGGTTCTATCTTGTGATTGGTTGTTGGGAGTTGTGTCAGAGAGTGAGAAACACTGTGTGTTCTCTCCCCATTTGTGCATGATTGTCTTCCGCTGCATTTTTTCACCTGTGTGCAGTTTGGACTCTGTCTCCTCTCTCCCCTTCTCTTATGCATGTATGGGCATGTGTGAGATTGTCTGTGTGTGAGTGGCGATAAAATTCGTCAGACAACATTGTCTGTGTGTGAGTGGCGATAAAATTCGTCAGACAACCAAGTTCATAACAGGATCCTGTCTTCTTTCTTTTTTTGAGCGTTGGCTGTCAAAGGGGGGAGGGGAGGGGGTATAAATTGGCTTTTAAGGGGCTAAAGGGGTAAAAGGGGTGTGCATTAAGTCTGATTCTGTTGTTTTCTTTTATATCTTCGATTCTGTGAGGAATTCTGATATGACCCTCCAGCCAAAAGTCGTTCATCTTGCGATTCTACACAACATATTGTTCTTCTGGAATTTTTTTTTTTTTGGTGCTGGCGCTGCCCGGAACCCTGCCCGGGGTTCATGGCCGGCCAGGCACCCGGGCATGTATCCCGGCACAAGTTGGGTGCCCCGGGCGCCCGGACAAACAGCCTACAAAATCTTATAAAATACAAAGAAAAGCAAGCTTTCGATTTTGTTGTTTTCGTCCGCGGGCTGATTTGGGGTAAAGGTTCCCACTTACCTGAACTCTTTCTTCTTGGCCATTCAGCTTCAGGGGATACTCGCACAAGGAATCGAAAAAAAAAAAGAGAAGGAAAAAGCAAAAAGGACTTTCCTCAGTTTACTGGATGTATCTGACCTCTTTCATGGCCAAAACCGGAAGCACCCGGAAGCACCTAACCGTGATTACGTCCACAGAGAGCCATAGCACTCTTTGACTGCAAACGATACAAAAAGAAAAAATGTAATGACCCGTCATAACACAGACTGAGAACACTGCTGATTTCTGAAGTTCTGCCGATGGAATGGATGCCTTGATGAGATTCCCGCATTCTGCTGTGCTTTCTGTCTGTGTGTGTGCGTGCTTGTGACCTGCATGCCTGTCTGAGTGCTTGTTGGTATGAGTGTGTGTGAGACCTGCAAGGGTACTTGCTTGTTTGGTAGGCCCGTAGGGCCGGTACTTACCTGTGGCCGTGGCATTGAGGGTTGTAGCAGGGAAAACACTCAAGTGGCGAAGCTAGCGGCCCTGAGGCCCTTGGGGTAGCGGAAAAACACTCAAGTAGGCCGGTAGGCCGATACTGCACCCCACTGCAGTTGACGTGAGGGGTACTGGAGGCCGAGCAGAAAAAGACAAAGTTGGCATTTTTAGAGTCCAGTAGCGGTAGGGTAGGTCTAGGCCGGTACCAGTCCAACCAGTCTGAGTCTAGAGCCTGTACGGGTAATATCAGGGTCTGCAATGATGTTTCCCTCCGAAACGGAGGAGGTACCGGTTGCTTGGAGAGGCCGAGCGGCCTGGAAGTCACCGCCCAAGAGGCAAGCAGGCCCCTATATCTAGAGGCGGAGGCAAGAGCTCCGCCTCATTCTTCAGTGTACGAGTGAGGCGTCACGCTGCTGGAGCGCTGGGAGGAGGAGCGCTGGGCACTACAGCGCTGCTGGGAGGAAGAAGCCGGGAGCTTCCACCTCGGCTATGGTGGAGCTCTACCGGTAGGAGGAGGAGGGAGAAGGGGACCAAGGAGGAGAGTGGCGAGGTACTTACGGGCTATGGTAGACACCATCTTCATCTCCTTGTTAGGCGCTGCATCAGGAAGGCCCCAGTGGGGGTAGTGCCGCATCAAGGAAGCTCGGACAGAGTCAGGCATGGCGGTTGAGTGGGCAGCGGCATAGCT